CGTTCAACTGTTCCCAGTAGTTTAGGTGCCTTATCGCACTTATGTGTGCCGTGAAAGTTCTTTACACTCTCCAGGTCTGCAATGTCGCCAGCCTTGAAGGGGGCCATTAGTGTACAGCAGTATTCCAGCCTAGAGAGCACAAGCGATTTGAAGAGAATCATCATGGGCTTGGCATCCCTAGTTTTGAAGGTTCTCATTATCCATCCTATCATTTTCCTAGCGGATGAGGTAGCTACTGTGTTGTGGTCTTTGAAGGAGAGATCCTCTGACATTATCACTCTCAGGTCCTTCACATTACTTTACCGCTCTATTGTATGGTTAGAATTTGTGGTATACCCTGACACATTTTTAATTTCTTCAAGTTTCCCATATCTGAGTATTTGAAATTTCTCCTTGTTGAATTTCATATTGATTTGAGTGGCCCAATCGAAGATTTGGTTGATGTCGGTTGGAGTCTCGCGGTGTCTTCGATGGAGGTCACTGCCATGGTGATCTGGTGTCATCCGCAAAGGAAGACACGGAACTATGGCTTACATCTCTGTCTATGTCAGAAATGAGGATGAGGAACAGAATGGGAGCGAGTACTGTGCCTTGTGGAACAGAGCTTTTTACCATGGCTGACTGGGACTTTACTCTGTTTTACTATTACTCTTTGTGTTCTATTTGTCAGGAAGTTGTAGATCCATCTACCAACTTTTCCCGTTTCCTTTATTCCCTTTATTCCTTTATCCAGTAAGCGTTTGCAAAATCTGTGTATACTACATCTGTATTTTGTTTATACTCTACAGCATCCAGGACTTGTCATAGTGGTCAAGTAGCTGGGACAGGGAGGAGTGACCTGCTCTAAATCCGTGTTGCCCTGGGTTGCGCAATTGATGTGTATCTAGGTGGGTGGCTGTCTTGCTTCTTAGAACCCTCTCAAAGGTTTTTACGATATGGGATGTTAGTGCTATCGGTCTGTAGTTCATTGCAATTGCTTTACTGCCCCCTTTGTGGAGTGGGGCTATGTCTGTTGCTTTTAGTGAGTGTGGGATAACCTCTGTGTCCATGCTCCCTCTCCATAAAATGCTGAAGGCACGTGATAGGGGCTTCTTGCAATTCTTGATGAACACGAAGTTCCACGAATCTGGGCCTGGGACAGAGTCCATGGGCATGTCATTAATTGCCTCTTCAAAGTCTTGTGGAGTTAGAATAATATCCGAGATTTTTGGAATGACCAAATTTTGGGTTTTGTTCATAAAGAATTCGTTTGGATTGTAGACCCTTAGTCTGGGCAGTGCTCACTGAACACTGAGTCATATTGCGGACTTTAGTATCTCACCCATTTCTTGGCTATCATCTGTGTATGTCCCATCCCGCCTAAGCATGGGCCCAATACTGGATGTTTTTTTCCCTTAGTTTTGGCATAAGAGAAGAAGCATTTTGTGTTTTTTTCAATTTCCTTCATGGCATTTAGTTCTTCCTGTGATTTGTGTCCCCTATAAGATTCCTTCAGCTTAAGTTCGATATTTGCAATTTCATTGACTAGTGCCTCCCTTCATATATCAGATATATGGTCCCACTCAGCAGCTCTGTGACTCTTTGCCTTCGTCTGTATAGGGAACGTCTCTCTCTTTCTTGTTTACATCTTCTCTTTCTTTTTCCTTAATGGAATGTGTCTTAAGCAGATCTCACGAACTACAGAATTCATTTTTCAAGGCAAATATTCAGATCCGTGTAGTTTAGGATATCTTCCCAGTTTGTTTCATTTAGAACTTTGTTTACTTGATCCCACTGTATGTTTTTGTTATTGAAATTGAATTTCGTGAAGAGACCCTCATGACTGTTCACATTTTGCTGGTCCAGAGCCTTGTGCATACATGTCTGATCCTCTTTTATCTTGTGATCAAAGTGTATTGTTGTGGAGAAATTTTCTCCAGGAGGGGGGTATCAGCCCCCTTCAGCCCCCTTCAGCCCCCTTCAGCCCTCTCAGCCCTGAGGGGCCACTAGAAGGGGCGAGCGTCTTGTTTACTGCTAGAGTGAGTAATTGATCACAGATGCTATGCGTGGTCAAATGACCTCTGCTCCTTGCAGGGGTGTTGCAACGTGTATTTTTATAAGAGACAATACATCTCTTACTTAGCAGGACAATTAAGGAAAATCCTGCTCCCACTTTATTACCATAGTAAAGATAGTGTACATTGTTGTTTATGATTAAGACAGCAAGAAACAAACATTCTGCTTTGCTTCATCGAGGAGGTGACAAGGATGCAAGGTACTAGGTCAGCGTTTTTTTTTTTTGTGCTAGGGCAGTGACGGCTTGGGGTGGTGTACTGACGCCAGATTACTTTTGACTCTAGAGAGAGTCACACTGATGCCAGGATAACCAACAAAGAACACTGATCTGTGCGTTAGTGTGAATAAAGTGTCTCGCAGAACACGACAAACACTTAGAGAAGTGTGATCAGCTTCTCTTGTGATACATTGTGAACAATAAAGACAAATCTTGTTGAAAATAGTGTACCAGTGTGCGTTTCCTAGACAATGGAAGACGTGGACATCCAAGGACACTTCAGCTTCTATCAAGTCACCGATATCTGTCGAAGGTGTTGAGAACACCATAGCTCACGTTACAAAGAGCAAGGTATGTTACGAATTTCTTGTAGATCGGGGGATTGCGCAATTCATGAGTCACAAGGAGTTTGTAATCAACCTATAATCGGCAGTAAGGTGTGGACTTTTGAGTCCAAACAAGTAAGTATTATGTCAGCCATCATCGAATGAAATATGCTGACATAACACCCCCTAGGGGTAATTTATACTTACAAATTGTATCTCTTGACAGCCCACTGTTGTGATGGTTTCGACAGCATCTAGACCTCGTCTGCAGGGACGGCTGTGTAGACGATTTGCTGTCATTTATCAGCTAAGTGTTCATTATATAATTATATCTTAGCTGGTAAGGCCAAATCTCAACAATTGTCTTTGATACAGTTATATTACGTATCAGATCGTCGTTGTTATTGAAGATGAGGTCCAGCGTATTTTCTAGTCTTGTAAGCTCTACTATTTGCTGGTTTAAGGTGAATTTATTGCAGAGATTTAATAGTTCGTGTGTGTGTGAATTTTCATCTGAGCTGCCTCCTGGGGTGATCTCTGCTGAAACTTTGTTTGCTATACTCCTCCATTTTAGGTGTCTCAAGTTGAAATCTCCAAGTAGTAAGAAGTTTGGGGCAGGAGATGTGAGATTTTCTAGACAGTGGTCAGTTTTCTCAAGCTGCTCCTGGAATTGCTGGGAAGTTGCATCTGGAGGCTTGTATACCACTACAATGACAAGGTTTTGGTTTTCAATCTTTACTGCCAAAACTTCAACTACATCATTTGAGGTGTTCAGTAGATCTGTGCAAATGAGCGACTCTGTGATCTACAGACCAACCCATCTCCCATGTTGCCTGTTTAGTCTGTCGCATCGGAATAGGTTATAACCTGGGATCCATATTTCGTTGTCATAATGATCCTTTATGTGGGTCTCTGTGAATGCTGCAAACATTGCATTTGACTCCGTGAGGAGTCCCTTGATGTAAGGAATTTTGTTGTTTTTTGACGATTTTAGACCCTGTATGTTTGCAAAGACAAATGTCGTACTGGTGGAATTTATGGGGGTTTTATGTGCTGGCTCTAATATCTGTTGTTCTGGGGTAGAGGCCAATGTCCGTACCTCTGCTCCGGAAGTGTTTGCAGGTGGTGTAGGATTATTGGCCCGAAAAAAACTGTCCCTGGAGAGGTTGTGGTTCCTCTCTATTGTTTCCCATAGTCTTGCTGGTCTGTGTCTTCTAGTCCCCTTTAGTTGATGTGCCTGGCGGTATGCATTGTAGCATTTTCTTTCATGGATTGATGAGTGACACATTTGTGGATGAAATAAGTTACAAGAAGGGAAGTTGCACTTTCCTGCTGTCATGTGGGTGTGGCATTTTTTGGGATGGTCAAGGTATATCTTTTTTACCAGATATACCTTGGCTGCAGATACCCAAGGCATAGTATTTACATAGATTGTAATTCAGTTTGCTAGGATTTAATGTAGCTGCGTTCGCTGCTGGTGCATTTATTTTTCCTGTTACTTCCCTATCATTCACCATTGTATGGACATCAATGCTTTCACCAGGTTTTGCTGGTAGCGTGTCGACACTATTCCCTGAGGCATCATCCCATTTTGATCCATCTCCAGCAGTATCTCTATTTTGAACCTCTGTGGGCTGAATAATGTTGTCTTCAGTGTCCTCCAGGACAACACTAGCACCCTCAGCACTGTCCTCCAGGACAGCACTGGCACCCTCATGAGCACTGTCCAAGACAGCCCCGTCGCTACCACCTATCTTATTTCCCCAGCTGTCATACCATGCTGACATGCCTTGCAAGAAGGATGTTTTATTGGTGGTCTTGTCTTTTAATATAGATGTCATTTCCACATACAGGTGTAACTCGTTTGGTCTGACCCAAAAACATCTCTCTGACTTTATGTCAAGTGTGGTCACTGGTTTAAAATCCCTACATATAGCACGGGACCATTGACCACAGAGATGGCAGACAATCCAGGCATGTTTTCATCCTTTACCCTTTCTGCAGATTACACAGATCCTGCCCTGCAATGCAAAATGCTTCGGATATGTGGATGACATCTTGTGTCTGGCCATATGATGTGGTCCTGGATACACTTTTACCGAGACTTAACGTCTATTAAATTCACAGTGGAGAAAGAAGTGGAAACTAAAATTTCATTCTTTTATGTGTTGATGCAACGGGTTGATAGAAAGTTCAGGTTTACTGTATATAGTAAGGTCATTAATGAGGGCTCATACATTCACTACTATTCCGACCATAATAGATACAGAAGCTATTATTAAGTCGAGGAAAAAATTGCTGAAGGCAACATTGTACACGATCATTCCATAAAAATAAGCGTAAATGAGTAGAAATTGAAAATTTTAAGCTAGTAGTAATACTTACGGTGTGCCACAGGGCCCTCTCGTACCCTGGATTCCGTCAACAATGTTCGGTGGTATGACGATATTGGCGGCGGTGGCCCTGCTCGGACTGAGGGAGACAAAGGGAAAGGACTTGCAGGACACCATCGCTCAACTCCAACACAACAAAGGAAGCACGTAAGATATTTACATTATCTTCAATGAACTGTTATTATTATTAAAATTATAATTATTATTATTATTCTTATTATTATAATCATGGGTAGCGTTAAACCGGTAGGATTATACAGCGCCTATGGGGAGGGGATGGAAGGTATTCAGGCTTAATTCGCAGAACTGGAGCACAGATCCAATTCCCTAGATCAGCCCCTCATTAGAGTCAAGGAACCTCTCTTGAGGGGAATGAACTGTAAGTACATGGACACTACTGTTAAAAGCATATGGTTATGCAAGGGGTGGGTGAGCATCAATCCTCAGTCCATTAACTGTCAGACCGACGCACTACTGTACTGGCCTCACCAACCATTAACTGTCAGACCGACGCACTACTGTACTGGCCTCACCAACCATTAACTGTCAGACCGACGCACTACTGTACTGGCCTCACCAACCATTAACTGTCAGACCGACGCACTACTGTACTGGCCTCACCAACCATTAACTGTCAGACCGACGCACTACTGTACTGGCCTCACCAACCATTAACTGTCAGACCGACGCACTACTGAAACTGGCCTCACCAACCATTAACTGTCAGACCGACGCACTACTGTACTGGCCTAAACCAACCATTAACTGTCAGACCGACGCACTACTGTACTGGCCTCACCAACCATTAACTGTCAGACCGACGCACTACTGTACTGGCCTCACCAACCATTAACTGTCAGACCGACGCACTACTGTACTGGCCTCACCAACCATTAACTGTCAGACCGACGCACTACTGTACTGGCCTCACCAACATTAACTGTCAGACCGACGCACTACTGTACTGGCCTCACCAACCATTAACTGTCAGACCGACGCACTACTGTACTGGCCTCACCAACCATTAACTGTCAGACCGACGCACTACTGTACTGGCCTCACCAACCATTAACTGTCAGACCGCCGCGCTACTTTGCCACCAACCTTTAACTTCAGAAGACGCGCTACTGTACTGCCTCACAACCATTAACTGTCAGACCGACGCACTACTGTACTGGCCTCACCAACCATTAACTGTCAGACCGACGCACTACTGTACTGGCCTCACCAACCATTAACTGTCAGACCGACGCACTACTGTACTGGCCTCACCAAACCATTAACTGTCAGACCGACGCACTACTGTACTGGCCCTCACCAACCATTAACTGTCAGACCGACGCACTACTGTACTGGCCTCACCAACCATTAACTGTCAGACCGACGCACTACTGTACTGGCCTCACCAACCATTAAATGCTGTAAAAGTTTAGCTACTTTAAATATACTGAGTATGTTTACATATTTTTTTCTCAATATCTCCTTGCCTGATGTCCATATGTTTAGTAACATATTTCTTATCTCCCTCAGACACAGTGAGGAACATGAAGCTGTAACTAGAGTTGTCGTTGATGATGAGAGCGAGTGCTGAGAGTACTTAGCCATCACGCCTCCGTCGATAGACATATCTGTCATTGTCACAAATGCATTTGATGAAACAAGATATACGAATGTATTTTTTATGTATATGTGTGACTGTTAAATGTTGTAAAATAATAAAAAAACTTTCATTCATATATGTATACACATATACCTGTGACGGAGATCAGTGACATAATTTATGAATCGTTCAACAGTTGGGTGCTGGAGTTCAACTCTGTAAAATGAGAAAAAAATTATGAAAATAAGATAGAGTAGGTTGTTGTTATTAATTCAGCTGTGAGGGAAAGGCTATCAGGAGGCAGCCCACAGTGTTAATCACAGGCAGTAGCATGGTACTGCTGTAAAAACAGCAGGGTGGTTGTTGACAGCCTTGAAAAGTTGAGATATGACATATGAAGTTCGAGCAGTGGGTGTCATTCTTTGGTTCGTGAAGCAGACTGTTTTATCGTCTTTTATGTTTATACCTTGTTCATTGTAACGTACGCTTGCCTAAGGAACTTAACCCAGCCTAACTTAACCTAACCCAACCCACCCCAACCCAGCCTAAAGAAATGGGCTTCAAACACTACCTGAACATGTGACAATTATTCGAAGTTGGTAGAATTACCGACAATATGTAAAGTAAAAGGACACAAGTGCAACTAATGTGGCACAATAAAATTCCACATTAGTTGCACTTGTGTCCTTTTACTTTACAAATTATTCGAAGGATGAGTTGAGCCCGTGGGACAGAAACTGTTTACTATCGGTGTCACACACCAAACATCTTGTCAATAACAACCATTATGCTAATACTGTTGAAAGTGTAGCAACGCCACGCTAATCTAATTCTTCCACTATCACGTGCTGATACCAGAATAGAGTAGAACTAGAAATAAGGAAACATACATAAAAGACAAGTCAGTGGTTCTTGTGTTCACTCTGATGCTAGAGTAATTAGTCGTAATTGAACCATTACAAGTGAATTTTTAGAAAGGTGGATGTAAGTGAGATGTACTGATTGGGTAACTGTTGAAGAGTGATTCGTATCTCAATCCTTGAGTAGAGAGGACGTATGCTGCTGCTACCCCCTGGTGTTGACTGGGTGCAGTAATATTTTCACAACATGGCGCAGGCTTGTCGCCGGCGGGTTAATACAGTCTGTATTGAATTAACCAGTGGAGCTATCACGGGGCCGTCTATGGAATTACTTCTACCAGCAATAATTAGAGACACCTACGGCGTAGCTACTGAAGAGATTTGTGGACTTGCCTTGAATGGCACAAAGAGGATATTTCTTAAATTCAATTCGGCGAGTATGTATGAGGCAGTGGTGAACAAGTTTCAGGAAGTGGCCATACCTGTGAATCATGCTGTCACGGTGAGGATGCATGATGTATCAAGTTACTTCACTTGGGTGAAGATCAGGAATGTGCCATTCGAGGCGGATGCATCTGACATAAGGTTTGTCATGAGTAAATATGGGACGGTACACACGGTCACTGCAGGAGGTGGTCAGCGGTTTTTAAAAT